TGGTGCATCACAGGTATATCTTACCCCATCTCCATCCCCAGGCGGGTCTTAAAAGTCTGCATTTCATCTGATGGGCCTACTCTGCATTGTCATCTAAATGACAGGTGACATATTCTGCTCCAACTCAGACTTAAGAGATGCTGAGCGATGATCCTGAACCCGGGAGCACTCTGCTTGAATGCCTGGCATCCCAAGTAATCTCCCATGCCTACCTCATGGTCCTGTCCCTACAGTTCTCCAGAAATATCTCTCTTCGGTTAGGTGTAATCCAGTCCAAGTAATGCACTAGAGAGGCTAGAAGGACAAAAGTCAAGTGCAGGGACTGGAGAGATCACTCATTCTTTAAGAGGATGTGTAGCTCTCCCAGAGGACCCAGAAATCAGCTAATAATCTTCTGTGACTCCAGTTCCATGTGGAATCCATTGCCCTTTCTGGCTTCAGTGCAAACTGATTGCTTGTGGTGCATAGAAAACAGACAAAATACCCATATACATAAATACAAGTAAATGAATCTCAAAGATTTCCATGCAAAATGAATAGTCAAGGCAACAGCACATTCAAAAGACCACATCTCAATATGTCTAGAAGGTTACTACCCCTGCATTGCCACTGTCATTGGTGCTGTATTTCAGGAAAGGAAAGGGAGATATCTATAGGTTTCCTCATTTCTTCTATACTCCTGTAAGTAATGTTCTCACTTCCTGAGATGCATTAGAAAACATAGGTGTATTTCTGAAAAAGTTGATATAAATGATCACGTCATGAACATGTGTTTATCTATTCTCCGTTTTTTGAAGTAGCTAGACATGTGAAGTCAGGTGTTTTATATGGATCTTTTTCCACCATGAAGTGGATATTCATGGAGTAGTCCATGCGATTCACACCCAAGATACCATCTTGGTTTGTAACCCTGTCTAGCTGAGAACTCACAATGTAGCCTAAGCCTCCTGGGACTTTGAGAGATCCACCTCTGTCTGTTGAGTTCTAATGTTACAAGAGTGTGACACCACACCTGACTACAAAGCTACATTCAGAATGAAGAGAATGTACCAGGTTTATCTGTCCCCTATGTGAGAACTTACTCTGTTGGAGGAGGGAAGGAAGGGTGGGGGGAATGTGGTAGGCAAGAGAGGGAGGAGTGATCTGAGTTGGATCTGTGGTTGGTAAGTAAATTCAGTAAAAAATTTAAAGAAAAGAATGAAGAGTTGGAAAATATTTTTTATTTGTGAAATTAGAGCAATTTAACTGAATAGGGCCTTAAAGGGGTGCTTAGTATATCCAGTGTATAGCTTTAGCAAAATATAAAATCAAAGAAAGAACAAAGAACCAAAAAAATAAAAAAAAACAGCAAACAAAACAAAGAACAACAAAACCTAAATTCATGCAAACCCCAAAACAAACCAAAACTATTTACATAAGAAGCTTTCTCTTCATGCAGATGTCCTACATTCTGTGGCTGGCTTTGGAAACAAGTTGGAAGACAACCCTGAATTGAAATAACCTCTTCAAGACATGTGTGGTCATGCCACTTTGGGGCTTCTAGGTTAAGTCCTTGCCAAAGTTGATCTTATGCCATGTTGTCCACTATATGATTCTGTCTGCCAACATGTGTCTGTGTGCCCATTCAAGAGCAAAAAATGACACGGGGAGCATCTGTTACCAAAAGACATAACAGCTCATGGTGACATCCTTCCTAAATCATCTCTCAGAACAATTCACTTCATCATCACCTGTGAGTGAAATTGAGTAGTTCCCACACTGGATTGGAGTAATTATGATGCTTCCTTGTTGTGGTCTGTGTGGATAGCAGCATGACATCAACACAGTCTCTGTTGACATATCTTCCTCCACATATGAAGGGCTCAACACTCAGTCAGCTACCAAAAGTTTGTAGCAATAAACTTTCAGAGTAACTATGAGTGGAAACATATTCTCTCTCCATGTTGTTGTGGCCCTCACTGGGAACACTTGCTGGTAGATGTCAGCTTTTTCTGCATAACTCTTGGTGTTTATTTTTTTGAATCTCAAGCATCTTCTTGATGGTTTCTTTATTCCATAACTAGTGAGTCAACAGACTCATGGATCAGATTATGGATGGATGACCTTCAGGGCAGATGATATTTGCCTCACTGGTGATTTCACAACTAGTAGTAGTACATGTCTTGTTCTGAGGAGGCCTTGATCATAGAGTGGAGAATGTCAGGGTTTCTAGTTGACTATGGATTCCTTCAGCCTCCTCAGTTCTCATAAAGGGTGCTGTGAGAGAAGAAAAGTCAATTAGATCTGCCTTGCTTGATCACTAGCTAGATAAATTCAGGGCCTATTCACACATAGGAAACCAGAATCAAGGAAGAACTCCACCCCACAAATGCCGTGTTGCTGGGGATGGGATGTCATGATGGCTCACTTGCTTATGACACTTAGTGCTCCTGCTGCAGCAGCTCTGTCGGCAGGAGGCTCTCATCCTGAGCTGTGGATTGTTCCAGCTCATGTTGGAGATTTTCTGACCTAGAGGAGGAAGTTAGTAAGGGCAGAGTCCTGGTGGGGATCCACCATGTCACCTGTCATTCAGTGATATCACAAAAACTCAATTGTGCTGGACAGTCAACACTGATCTTTGGCAGCAGTCATTGTATGTACATCTAAGGAATAAGTGTCACAGAATAGTTGGGCCTTGAATTATTTTCTGCCCTTAACAAGTATCAGATGTTGATATGAGTACTATATGTACTGTGCTCTAATGAGAAAGAACCAGATTTTTTCCTACAGTATAGAGACATCATTTAAATAAAAGGAGTAGCATATTAAAGTCATATATAATAGCACTGTGGAGATACACAGACTGTTCATGATGAGTTTCTCATCAACTACCTCATTTTTTCTTGTCTAATTTCTGTTTCTTTGTAGGTAGGGTTACAATATGCATCTCTGGCTGACTAGATACATGTTCTAGGATGGCTACAAGAGGCCAGAGATTTCCTGCATTTGCTCCCAAAGAGCTTGGATTAAAGACATGAACAATCACATACACCTGTCCTTATTCCTGATTTTAATTGATATTATTTTATTTTCCTCTCCATGTTGTACAATGCTGTCACAGGTTTGATATAGAAAACCTTAAAATTCCAAGCTGTGTTTCTTCTTGTCTTTTTTAGAGGGATTACATGAGTAAGGGTGGTAAAGATCATGATGGGGATATCTACAGAAACAACTGAACCAAGCTCATAAGAACTCAGGAAATTTAGACTGACAGTTGTGACCTTCTGCATATGGGTGACAGGTGTGGAGCTGGTTGTGTTTGAGGGGCCCCTGGTAGTTTGATCAGGATCTATTCCTGATGCATGAGCTGTCTTTCTGGATCCCATTACCTATGGTTGGACACCTTCCTCTTGCTTGATAAAGTGGGGAGGGACTTGCTCCTGCCTCAACATAATGTATCATGCTTAACTGTCCTACCATGGGAGAACTTACCCTGTTGGAGGAGGGGATGAAGGGTCAGGGAAGAAGGTGAGTGGGGAGTGGGAGGAGGGAAGAAAGGGGGATCTGTGGTTGGTATGTAAAATGAATAAAAAATAATTTTAAAAAGACCACCTCATTTTATATACATAGACTTAATACAACTTTGCACCCAGGTAATACACAAGATGGAGCCTCTCATGCTAGAGCAGTATTTCTTGAGCCATGTGCCTGAGAACATTGTCACTGCATGGTCTCTGTCAATAAACAAGAAGAGCTGTGTTATCCTTAGGCCTAGAGCTGGGAATCTACATCCTGACACTCTAGAGGAGTCTGTTCAACAACACTTGGTGAAGGTTCAGAGACATCTACCTGGGTTCATCCTGCCAATGACTAAACGTATTATATCCCCAGTACACTTTACATGGGAAATGCTCAAACAATGAAGACAGCCAGTGTGACATCAAATAGTGACAAGGGTGCAAATCTCATTCCATAGGTGCTAATCCTGAATAAAAATATAATTTCAAGTCGGGCGGTGGTGGCGCACGCCTTTAATCCCAGCACTCGGGAAGCAGAGCCAGGCGGATCTCTGTGAGTTCGAGGCCAGCCTGGGCTACCAAGTGAGTTCCAGGACAGGCGCAAAGCTACACAGAGAAACCCTGTCTCGAAAAACCAAAAAAAAAAAAAATGTAATTTCAGTCAGATATGGTGAGGCACACCTTTAAATCCCATCACTTGGGAGGCATAAGCAGTCAGAGCTCTGTGAGTTCAAGGAAAACCTGCTGAGAACATACCAGATTGATCAGAAGGGAGGAATGGAACACAAGTGTACAGACCCAGGGAGTATCAAACATATTGTTTGCTGGACAGAAGTTCTTGTTGACGGGACCAGCATAATACTCTGAGTTCTGAGTTGATCTACCCATGATTGGAGCAGGGAGTCTTGATGATAAGCAAAAGCCCACAAAGGACAGAGAGCCCTGGTACAAAAGAAAAAATTGGCTCCATACCCCAACTTCAGCCTGGGTTCCTACCTCATCTGGGAGACAGTCAAATGATGCTGCAGCTTTATTGCCAGGTGTTTTTGCTCTGTGACCACCTCCCTCTGCTTCAGCAAGCTCTGGAGTCTCTCTTCCATTCTTTGCTGCTCCTGTTCATTACAAGATTGTGTCCTTATTGGAGGGTTGAGTATAGTATAGTCAATACATTCTCACACATGTGCAAGCACACACAAAGAATCTCAAGCGCTTATTGGTCAGTCAATCTCACGAAATTTCAAGCTCATGGGCACATGAGAAAGCCTGCTTGAAGTTCATAAGACAGAGACTGACCAAGAGAGAAACCCAGTGGTCTCCTCTAGCTGTCATCCACATGAAATATGCACTGTACTCCCACATGCCTCTATTACACACACACACACACACACACACACACACACACACACACACACACACACACACTACGGAGAGACAGAGAAAGGGGTGAAAACGAAAACAACAAAGTGATAGAGGAGCAGTTATCTTTAAAATAAGCACACCAGCCTTTAAGCAAAGTCCCAAAACTCAGCTTTCCATTCCTGGGAACTAAAATGGCCTACGAGGGCATACTCTTGAACCAGTGGAGATTGTTGGAAAAATTTTTACTCTTGAACTCAATTCTGTGTGTAGCAATCCTCCCATTATAATGACATGTAGCTGTGTGATGAGTGATTGACCTGTTTCTCCCCATTGACTACAGGTTCAAGAAGAGTATCAGGGATTGCATGCCAATGACCAAGATTCTCAGAGGAGACTCACTTCTCAGAAATACTAATGCACAGACACAGAATGAACAATTTTATGTCATCAAGTGGGTGGATGGATGGGTGTATGGATGAGGAAAGTGATGAGATAGAGCACAGGTGTCTGGATGGGTAGATTTGGTAAAGTTACATAAGTAAATGATGCTGGACCTAACTGTGACCCAGCTCCCTGTCCCTACCTGCTGTTGCTGGTTGTGGTGGTCACTGATCTCTTCTTGATCCTTCCTGAGCACTTGCAAGTCACCCAAGTGGTGCTTCAGCACTGACCCAATCCTCCAGTATGATCTCCTTCTCTTGCCTCAGCATATCCAATTTCTTTTTGAGCTGACTCTGCTCCATCAGGAGCCGGCTCTGCAGATCACTGGAAACACACTCCAAATGGTAAGACCAGGTCAGTCACCTCTGGTCACACACAACACCATGCCTCAACATCCCAACCCTATCCCAGGTTCACAGGAAGATGTAAACAAGAACCTTCAACAGTAATGACAGTGGCACTCAAGGTCAAAAGCAGAGAACAGTTATTTCCTGCAAGAATCAAACTATTTCTGAACACCCCCCCCCAAATAACAGAAATTCATGCACTTCCATAAACAAGAGGAGTACTCCACCTGTCCTAATCAGTCCACTGTCATGAGGAAACACCAGTAGGTAATGTTCAAGTACACTTGGGGAAGTAGGAGACCCAAAGGGTGCATAGATCCCGTATCAGTCAGCTCCTGCCTGACAACCCTCTCCTGAGGACAATTGCTCATCTAACCAGTGGTTCTCAGTATGTGGGTTGTGCACCCTTTGGGATCTAAGGAGCCTTTCATAAGGGACACATATTAGATGGCCTATGTAGACATTTACATTAAAATTATTAACAGTAGCAAAATAAACTTAAGACAATGCTACAAAATAATTTTATGGTTTGGGGTTATAAAAACAATGAAGCAATGTATTAAAGTGTCACAGCATTAGGAAGGTTAATAACCACTGAACTGGAGGCTACTGAATGAAAATATGGTGCTTGGAAGAGCTAATAGTCTCTTTAAATCTTAGCAAAACTGAGTAAAGGGGCATAAGTCCAAAGGCTTCTTGCCAATGCTGCTGGCTAAGAAGCAGAAAAACTAGAAGCACATCTGCAGACCCTGCAGTCCAGAGACAAAGAAAACTGGAGTTGGCTATTGTACAACAGTTGGGGTCCCTGCCAAGATAAGCACTTACAAAAGGAAGACTTTCTCTTTGGTCAGCTCACTGAGCTTCTGTGAGGCCTCCAAATTCTCATTCTCAAACTTCTGCAGGTCTGACATGACCTGCTGATGTTCCATTTTGAGCTTTTCCCAGAAAGGATTTGGCCTGTGGTAGGGCCTGGACCCAGAAGCAAAGAATTCCATAAATACAGGCCTCAAGGATCACATGAATTCAGTGTGTGTTATAATACTGGAATTAATAAGATGCCACATCCTGGCTCCTATGTACTGGGACCTCTGGCTGCTTAATACACTTGCTCTTCTGGTCCCAGGCCAGCAGAGTCAGGGTGTTAAGAGGGATGCAGATGGGACTGAATATGCTCCCTCAGGAGTCCTGCACAGCTTGCTATGGAGTTCCCACGAGATGGAGGAGAGGGAGAAAGAGAAAGAGAGAGAGAGAGAGAGAGAGAGAGAGAGAGAGAGAGAGAGAGAGAGAGAGAGAGAAAGAGAGAGAGAGAGAGAGAGAGAGAGAGAGAGAGAGAGAGAGAGAGAGAGAGAGAGAGAGAGAGAGAAATTGAGAGAGGGAAAGGGGATAAAATGCTCTCATTGAGATGACAAATTCATGCATGCAATTGTGTCATCTTAGAGAGGACCAAGAGCAGCAGACTTCAGTACCAGGCCTTGCTGCCACATATTAAGATGTGGTACAAAAACTCTCCAGCTGCTACTTGAAGCATCCAGCACACAATGTCTTACCAGAAAAGTAAAAAAAAAAATAACAGCATTCTCACACTAGCCACCACTTAACAGGATCTCTCCAAATGCATGCTGGGAATTCACACACTACTGCTTCAGTTCCTGAGTTATGTGATTCAGGTCACAGGCTCTGATTTTCATTTGTAGGAAGCAGAACAGTCTATGTCCCCATCTCACTCCTGCCCATGTGTCAGGTTTTGCTTCAGGGAAGCATTTAGAGAAATAGTGTTGGGCAAAGGGACACCCAACCTCCCAGAAGCCGGTTTCTTAGACAAAATAAACTAAGGGTTTAATTGTGGAACCGAGACAGTCACCATGGAGTTTGAAACAGTAAATACCTGTTGTCCAAGGATCCTTCGGTTACTAAGATGAGTCGATCTCTCAGATCATTCCGTTGGGTGGTCATCACCTGGAGCTGAGTGGTCAGGCTCTTCACCTTCTGCTTCACTTGCTTCTTTGTGAGGCTGGTTGGAGTGGGTGTTGGCACCTTGGAGGCCCCTGTGGGTAGATGAATGAACACAAGTGAACGTGCATTGTGACAAGACATAGAGATTGAACAGGTCACCCTGAGACCCGAGAAGGTGTTTGAGAAAGGATGTAAGCAAGCAATTCAGTGACACCCCAAAGAATTTTGCCCTGGACTGAGATGCCCCCGCTGGACATCTTAGGTCTCCCATCTCTGTGACAGGAGATAGGTGTCTCAGCCAGCTGATTTTCTCTGCTCCTTTAGCACATGTTTTGGGTAACTAAGGAGAGAGCCTCCTCAGGCTTATTAACAGCTCTGGACTCTGCATTCAACTTGGCTGCAGGGTTCACTAATCTGTGGCTTTCAAATGCAAGATAAAATTGACACAGTCCACAAGCACTCAGGTCATTAAAGATGCAAAAATATCCTGACAGGTCACTCTAAGTACTTGGCAAAAATGGAGAAGCCACACAGGGACCGAATATGTTCACCATCCTCACCAAGACGCCTCATTGACAAAGGAGGGTGCATAGAGCTGATGGGCTGTAAATAAATGAAGACACTGAGGTTGAAGTATATTGATGACCTGCTTTGCTGGGCACAATTCACTTGAACTTTTTACCCTAATGCTGTCCTTTTTTTCCCCTTTCAACCCCTAGCCTCCCGTAGGATTGAAAGGCAAGAGCTCCCAGCACAACAGCTTTGGCCTTACCCGCTCCTGATTTCTGGGACAGACAAATTACTCTTCTGGAATCCTTGAATTTCAGGAGCCACGACAAGCAGGGAAGTCTAGTTGGTTCCCAGAGACTCCTACCTCCTGTGTTCCATTACTGGAAGATTCAGCTCAAGCCCACGTCTTGCAGGAACATCCCAATTTCCTGCCCACAACTTACTGTACCATCTTCTGGACCATTTCTTTCTTGACGGTTCACATTGGAATGGCTGACGGCCAGCTTGTGTCTGCCTCTCTCTGGTTTCTCTTCCCTCTCCTCTCTCTCGACCCAATAAGGTCCTGAGTCTTCCCAACATGTTCATGGCTGAACTGTAAGGGCAGTGAACCAACTGTCCAAAGGCAGTTGGTGTTGCTACAGCACAGGTGACATCAGATAACATTCTAAAGTCTCCAGGATACAATAGAATGTCCAGGCATGAGACACCGCTGATGTCATGGGGAACTGACATTGCCTCCCTGCTAACCAGATCTCCTCATAACTCTTCAGAAGTCAGGTTTCCCATTCTAGGAATCTCTCCTGGGACTCAAGAGAAATGCTTCAGTACCCTTGTGTTCCATAGCCAGAGATTGCTCTCTGATTGTTTGGAAATGCCTCAGTACTTCCATGAGGGAAAGAAAGTGAGTGTTCATCTCCTATTAAAGTATATATCTGGAAGGTAACAGTATTATAGACATTGATGTGAGGTATGATTCTCCACAAGTACCTGCATCTCCTTATCAAGAAATGATAGACTTAATGATAATGGAAAGGACACTTTTTAAAAAACTTCCCGGTATGGAGCCTACAGAAATTACTGCCAGTAAATAATATGCAGCTTATTTGATTTAAATTGATGACCACAGCAGATTGCATTAGCATGTTACATGTGATGTATAGATAATCACTACCCAGTACATCAGCTTTTAAGAGTTTCTGAAAATGCTCAATTGGTATGAGCATATATATTTACTATTTACATTTCAATTAGTGATATTTTGGTATGCTGATTTATCATTTGGATAACTTTTTAAAAGAAAATTTCAGTGGGGGAAAACCACCAAATATTAACAATACCTTGAGTAGAGTCACAATTTGTAGTCAACTGATTCCACAAAATATGTTAACTTTAACTGACTTACCTTGTTACATTCAAATCCTACTTCATTCAAAGTAGTGCAGACTCCACATAGGGTGCTCCAACTGTACCTACATACACACTAAGTGACTGCTCATTCATCCACCATCCAGTAAAGCCTTAGAGACAAAGCTATCATTTTACAATGAAAGATGACAGTACAACTTTGGACTGTCATTCAACAAGACATATTCATGTACTACAGACCATTTCAGCACTAAGAGATGGCCTCTTCATAACATGCAGAGTTATATAAAAAATGATAAAAATTATTTTCCATTTGTACAGGTGAAGCCCTTTGGCATTCTAATTATATCAAGCACTAATGAAATCTTTTCTGGTTGAGGAAGATTTAAGGCAAGTTCCGGCCCTATGAAGGCACTGAGATGATTTCCCCATTATTGCTACATGTCTTTATACTCAATGTCACAGTAGATCTGGTCGATTCAGCAACCATTTTTTTTTTTTTTTTTTTTTTTTTGCTGGTTTATGAAGCTGGAAGTAGAAAAGCATGCCACATGTGAGCCAAACTACAAAGTATGTGGTCGTTCTTTTTTCTCTTTAATTTCTGATGGGCTATAACCATTCTACATTCTAAGAAAAACTCAAAATGCTCCTCAAACTACTTCCAGAGATTCTAGATTGCATGATTTCCTTTCGATACCGGGATGGTGACACAAGCCTTCATTCCTAGCACTTGGGAGGCAGACAGGCAGATGTCTGTGTATTCAAGACAATCTTGGTCTTCAGAGCCATGTTGGTGATAGTCAGGCCTACACAGAAAAACTCTGACTAAAAAAGCAAAACAAAAGGAAAACACAAACCACCACAACAGCAAAACCGGGAACGTGCTTGGTAGCTGCTGGTGTTCGGCTGATTTTTCTAACATTGTTTCAATCTCATCTGAGACCTGAGCAAGTGTTTGGTCTGTTTTCTTCTTCCTGCATCACAGCTGCCCTGTTGTGGAAATTTTGTTCATCCATATGAAAGGTTTGTTGGCTTTTATGTGTACAATAACAAAACTTTGTAATTACTACTGTTGCTGCTGCTGCTGATGATATTAATGATGATGATGATGATGATAATAATAATAATACTGAAGGAGAACACCGAAAGGGAAGGAGTGGGGCCTCCCAAGAGTGTTTGAGGCCAAGGCCTGCAAGTTGGCCTTCTTAGTGCCATCCTGGCTCAGTGCTGCCTGCAGCATCTCTCCCATCCTATAGAGGGCGCCCCCTTGCCTCAGGCCTTGGAGATGGAGAGGTGGGTGAAGATGGGGTGGCTGAGACCTGGGTCCAGGCTGGAGGAATCAACGCTGTTGAGGAGCCTGAGCTCTGCAAGAGCTGTCTTGGTCCCATAAATTCTGCATCTCTGGGCAGCGCCTTGATCATGAGCAGATGGGACAGACAGGAAGGCAGCTGGAAACCAAAGTTAGGCCAGGACATGCAGGTCAAGAGAGATTTAGCAGGGGGCAGCACTTTGCATGACATTCCTGCTGTCTGCTGTGGTAGTCAGTAGGATGCAACCATAGCCTCTAATCGTTGGGTCTAGTTGGGGAGGCATTTGATGAGATGCTCCGCCCTGGCCCAAGGCAAAGACTTATAGTCATGGGAGGCCACACATCTGGTTGTTGAAGGGGTACCACCGAGGCACAGCAGGATGGGGGCGCCCAGGGGGTTAAGTTCACTGAAATGGAGCAGAAGGAAGAGGTAGATTTGAAACAGGATAAATTTAGGAGGATGAGCTTGACGGTGGCATGCATGAAGTAGGTCTCTCTAGAAACATGGGCCATTCCAGATCCCTAGGCTGTTGGTGCTGGTTGGACTGGGAGCCTGAGAAACTGAGGCTGTGCTACACACCAAATGCAGGACAAAAGCTCACAGGTCTGTGGAGGCGCCCCCACCCCACAACTTCCCACAATGGTTCGGGCTGCCACTTGTCTGCTGTCTGGATGATATGGCAGCCTGGACCAGAGGGCAGGAGGTGATCTGTGGAGGGTGTAGAATAGTCTTGAGCCCCATGACCATAACTGTAATAATGCCAAAGCCTTCCAGCACTGGTGTCATTGTGGACTGCAGCTGATCTGACCATCTTCAGCCCTTCTGACACTGGAGCCTCCATCTTACCTGGGTGTGTTTCATTTTGCTTGCTGTCTCCCAGGGAGGTGGAAGCAGTGTGAGGTTTGATTTGTTGTCTAGTGCTCATCCTCAATGCTAGCACAGGACCCACTGTACAGTAAGCACTTTAAACATGCAAGTCAGAAGGAGGACATGGTGGCCCATGCCTTTGATCCTGCACTCAGAAGGCAGAGGCAAGTAGATGTCTGTGAGTTTGAGGTCTGTTTGTCTACTGAGTCCAGGATGGCCAGAGCCTCATAGGAAGACAATCTCCAAAAACAAACAAAGAAAGAAAAAGTGGGTTTGAGAGTTGTATCAGCAGTTAAGAGCACTGGCTGCTATTGTGGAGGATGAGGGTTCAGTTCCCAGCAATCATACAGAGGCTCAAACACACTCTTTCAGCCTCCTCAGGCACCAGGAACACATGCAGTGCTCAAACATACCCGCAGGAAAATTACCCGTATACATAAAAAATGAAATAAACATTTAAAAGGGGGAAAATTAAAATAAGATAAAAATGCAAACTCACCCTTCAGCTACAGAGTATAACATATGAGCAAATTGAACTGCATGGAATCCTGGCCAGTTATACCGACAAGGATTTGCAGAACAGGTAGTCATTATGTGCAGTTCTCTGCTGACCATCTTGACCCCACAGTGTGTAGCTAAGCTTTCCTGAGGAACAGGAGGCTGAACCTCCAGGGTGTCCTTGTGCCTAAACTAATTTTCCCGAGTGCACAGAATTTGGAACCTGGATAGGTGTGAGATGGAGACACAGGCTATTCTTATTCATCCAAATGAATAGCAGACCCTGTGGCCTGAATCACAGTCTGAGGAGAGGGACATTAGTGTGTGAGTTCTCAACATGCATTTCAAGAGGCCTTGGCAGGTGTTGGCTTGTGGGAGATGCTAGGTTCTGTGAGTTTGTGGTGAGTCTTTGTAGTTGACCAACAGATGATTATGTGCTGAAGGCTCCTGTCAGAGCTGGAGGGGCCTGGTCCCATTCATCCATCTCAGTTTGTGGCTGGAAGGTTTGATGTTTATCAGTGGTTCTCCCTTGTCCTCCTCCTTATACTCTGAGGCAATTCCACCTACCTGCATTTCATGGGCAACCTGACTGTATGTGGTGTGTTTGTGTGGGGGGGATGTAATATCCTGAAACTTTTCTTGGCTCCTCCTTATACTCTGAGACAGTGCAAACTATCTGTATCACATGTGCATTCTGAGCATATGTGGTGTGTGTGTGTGTGTGTGTCTGTGTGTGTATGTGTGCATGTGTGCATGTGTGTGTGTTGTGTGTGTGTGTGTGTGTGTGTGTGTGTGTGTGTGTGTTAATGTGTGTGTTAGAGGGCATTAGGGTGTGTGTGTGTACTCCTTGGAGTCTAGGTTCTGTGGCAGGGCCTGAGGATTTGCCATTTTCACATTTTCCATGGGATGCCAGTGATAACATCAGGGAGCTTCATCTTGGCCACTGTTCTCTCTTTGGTGAAACTTTGGAATCTCTTGTGGAGTTTATAAAGCCTTCCTGAAGCTGGGACTCCTCCCTGGAAATACCAATGTGTGCTCTGGTCCTCTGTGTAGCAATAGACAGTCATACATGAGAATCCCTGTGGTAAAAACAGGAAAAATGTCACTATAGGTTTCCGGTGGCACCAGATATGTGGCACAGACTCCTGGGAACTTCTCAGGTAGATA